TCTCTCTCTCTCTCTCTCTCTCTCTCTCTCTCTCTCTCTCTCTCTCTTGCTCTCTCTCGCTCTCTCTCTCTCTCTCTCTCTCTCCCCTCCTCCCCCTCCCTGAGCCTCCGGAGCTGATTTCAAATTTTCAAAGATATCTCCTAGTGAGGCTGTGAGATTGAAGGCTCATAAATACCTTTATTATAATATAATGGCCACATATTTTCAGCCATTATTTCTCGTGGAGAAATTAGTTCATCTGTGTGATGAATGCCTGCACAGTCTTTGGGGGCCTTAAATGTTCTTCGATGGACACTCGCTGCTAGGATAATATCTCAAATGGACACTCTCCAGTGGAATAATATGTCACAGTGGCTTTGCTTGAGTTATAGAAATCCAAGTCTTAATGTAAAAAAAGGAACCAGTCTAAATACAAAAAGTGGAGCTGAGCACCTGTGCTGATGGGTTCTTGTGATTGAACTTGCTTGAGATGAAGGCGGCGTGCTAAAGAGAAATCCCTGTTCCTTTTGTTTCTGCAGTAACACGTACTCCTTAACGCCCCCCAAGTTCTTTTTTAATTCTGCGGGAGCCTAAGGCAACTTGTAATAATCCACTTTTAATGTATAACAGATTGTAACTCGGTAAGCTTTGATGACGTCTATTGTGATTATATCAGCTCGGTCATACAAGATATTCTGGCAGCAGTTTCTTGGATAGTGAAATAACACTGGAGGTGGATGGATAGTCACAAAAGCCAACAATAACCTTTTTTTTCATTCACATGTATTTTTCCAGTTTTCCAATAGTTTCTGTGACTCCTAAAAAATATCAACCCACCACTTTTAACAATTAATCTTACAAGAGATTTACTGTTGCCGAGAAATATATGCAGCAGAACCAGAAGTATCCTGACTTTTAGTCTCTTGCAAGGGGCAAGCTCCAAAATCACTATATTCTACAAACTCCATAGTGTTAAAGGTGCAATGTGCAAGATATGGACATTCAAAAATGAACTGACATCAACAGAATGTGAAGTAACAGCGTAGACGTTATGTCAAAGACATCTTTATATTGCGTTGCAGAGATATCTACTGAAATGAGCATGCTAACCAGCTAGCCCCGGCCCGTATTACCGCTTGTACCTCTGGAGGTGATAGTGAGTCACTGTAGCGTCCAGTCTGCCCTCAGTCTAACATGAGAGGGCAAGGAAGCAGAGCTTCCTCGAGGGCTTGTCAATCCCGTTGAAGGTACAGCCCCCATAAGTGGCACAGGAAACACAGAGATGGCTGAAGCTCTTGAGAAAAAAAGAAGCAAAACAAGAGTAAACATCAGGGTAAAGTTCATTTTAGACTGAGTAACCTCGAATGTAGAGTGAGTAACATCTAATGTTGGCTATTCAGCACAACTAATGACAACACAAACTGTACCGAAAAATAATCCAAATGGAGTCGGTTTTGATACGGCTGTTTTCTCGCTGCTATGGTCTTGCTAAAACTGAGCTCAGCAAGCTTTAACGTAAACTACAGGCTGACACCACGTATGAGGATTATAACATAGCAGTGTTATTTTGAAATGCTGTCAGAGTTTCAGCACTTTAGTGACTGTGTTGCATCTTTCTGCTTCCAGAGAATTTTGTGTTTTGGATCTTCTGTTTGTTTTTTTTGCTTTAAGGAGAGCTTTTATCCAATCAGATTCAGCCCCTATGTCTCTATGTAAGGAGAGAGGCCCGATGCCCGCTAGAGAGCCTTTGCAGTTTAAGTAAAGGGGGACGTTATTGTTGATTGTCATTGTCTTCAACCAATCAGATCTTTAGTTCGACATGTTGGGCGTATTCTTTCACGTGCCACTGGTATCGAGGTAGCCTGCTAAGTACGTCTGCATTAACGTGCGCCGTGATTGGTCAGTGGGCCAGCGTGACTTTTGTCAAACAGAAAGCTAGCTAGCAGATCTTAGTGTTTAGTAAGAGTTCAGGTTGAAACATATGTAAGAGAAGTTATGACATTTTTAGCGTTTTGCTTGGTGTAGATTCTTTTTTTTGACCAAGCTTTGTTTTTTTAACACTCTGAAGGAGGAGGAGAAATGGATTTAGGAGTTACTGACTTTGTTAACAAAGAAAGGAGGATGGACTTTGTCTTTAAGTGAAGGCAGCTTTGGTAAGTGTTATTTTACATCTGCAGTAGCGTTACTACTGTGTTCATTTGTCTATCGTGTCGTTTTTATGAATAATATGAATGGCTCGTGCTGTGGCGCTGCAGCGTTGCTGGATTGATTTGTTGCTTTGTTGTCGTATAAATATATGTGACTGGTTCTTGTGAGTTTGTTCTTGTCATTGTGTTAATTACATTGATTTGGACTATATGCATTGTCCGTTAATTACGAAGCATCCCGTCATGTGCGGGGTTATTGTTCGGACAATTGAATCCGTTCGGGCTGTTGTTTTCTTTTTACAAAGCAAGAATGATGGTGTGGAGAAATGGGGATTGTGTGGCGATTGCTTTAGCCCTGTTTGAATCCGTAGGGAACAGCTAAACGCTGTGGGGAGAGTTCGTAGATTGTGTGCCGCTGTTGTTTCCCCGCTAAGCTAGTTTAGCTTAGCCTCCCTGAACACACGGTGCGGGGCCTCAGCTGTTTTTTGTTATTGTTCCGGGTTCAAAAGGTCACACAGCCCGTTGTCTGTTACGTGAGCACAGTCCACCGAAAACATTATATTTCCCACAATGTAAGCTTCTGCATTTTCCAAATGCACTAGTATTATTCAAACGTATTGTTCGGTTCGTAAGCCTTGTACCGAACAGTTTAATACGAATACGTGTATTGTTACACCCCTAGAAACAAATAACCGTAGCTGTGGCATCATAATGAGCTTATTAGGAGCTGGCTCAAGTGTAGTAGGACAGCACAGAAGGCCCAGGTATAAAATGCACGGCCCGCCACT